ATAAGTTCCATATAAACTTCCTGCTCCTATTTTATCTCATTATAGTTTGTTAACTGTTTTTTATCCTGAATATGTGGCCCGCCCATTGTCTTCATTACCGTGATTGTGTTTACTGGAATGTTTATTTTATGATTTTTTTAAATGGTCATTTTGATGATGTTGTTGTTGTTTGTTGTATATGTTTTGATTTTATTGCTGTATTATGTTTTGATTCTATTGCTGTATTATGTTTTGATTTTATTGCTGTATTATGTTGTCCGGGCTTGGCCCCATGTAAGCCGCTCCGAGTCCCCATCGGGGAGATGGTGGCGGGGTAGAAATAAAGTTTATTTATTTATTATTATTATTATTATTATTATTATTAGTAGTAGTAGTAGTAGTAGTAGTAGTAGTAGTAGCAGCAGCAGCAGCAGCAGTAGTATTATGAAGAAGAAGATGATGATGATGTTTATTTATATCCCACTTTCTCTCTCCACAAGGAGACTCAAAGCGGCTAACAGATAAGCCTAACAGATAGCCTGTATCTGATTTGGATAGTGTTAGGGTTAGGGTTACAGAACTGGAAGAGACTCCAAGGGCCATCCAGTCCACCCCCTTGCAAGAATACACACTCAAAACAGCAATCTAGTCTCTGATAAGACAGCCATCCAGGCTCTGTTTCAAAACCTCCAAAGAAGACTCCACCAGACTCCCAAGTAGAAATGTCAAACTCCCAAGTTAAACAGCTATAACCATCAGGACATTCTTCCAAATGGTGAGGTGGAATCTCTTTGTAATTTGGACCTGGCCACTCCATTGTGTCCTAGTCCCCGGAGCAGCCCCTTCCTCAATATGTTGTTGCTGTTCATTCGTTTAGTCGTTTCTGACTTCATGGACCAGTCCACGCCAGAGCTCCCTGTCGGCCATCACCACCCCCAGCTCCTTCAAGGTCAATCCAGTCACTTCAAGGATACCATCCATCCATCTTGCCCTTGGTCGGCCCCTCTTCCTTTTTCCTTCCATTTTCCCCAGCATCATGTCTTCTCTAAGCTTTCCTGTCTTCTCATGATGTGGCCAAAGTACTTCATCTTGGCCTCTACCATCCTTCCCTCCAATGAGCAGTCAGCTTTATTTCCTGGAGGATGGACTGGTTGGATCTTCTCGCAGTCCAAGGCACTCTCAGAACTTTCCTCCAACACCACAGCTCAAAAGCATCTCTCTTCCTTCGCTCAGCCTTCCTTCTGGTCCAGCTCTCACATCCGTAGGTGACTACGGGGAATACCATTGCTTTGACTATGGGGATCTTTGTTGCCTGTGTGATGTCTCTACTCTTCACTCTTGGTCCTTGCTCTCCTCGCAAGAAGGGAATGTCTTCTGATTTCCTGACTGCAGTCTGTGTCTGCAGTCATCTTTGCACCTAGAAATACAAACCCTGTATCTGCCTCCTTGTTTTCTCCCTCTATTTGCCAGTTATCAATCATTCTTGATGCCATAATCTTGGGGTTTTTTATGTTTAACTGCAACCCCGCTTTTGCGCTTTCTTCTTTCACCTTGATTAGAAGGCTCCTCAGCTCCTCCTAACTTTCCGCCATCAAAGTGGTATCATCTGCATATCTAAGGTTGTTAATGTTTCTTCCAGCAATGTTCACCCCAGCCTTGCATTCCTCAAGCCCTGCACATTGCATGATGAGTTCTGCGTACAAGTTGAATAGGTTGGGGGAGAGGATACAGCCCTGCTATACGCCTTTCCCAATCTTGAATTAGTCTGTTGTTCCATGGTCAGTTCTTACTGTTGCCTCAATATGACACCGTTTCAATTATCTAAAGCTGGCTCTCAGGTCCCCCTTCCAAGCTTCTCTTCTCCAAGCTAAACCTATCCAGCTCCTTAAACCATTCCTCTGGGGGATCCACGGTTTCCAGGTCTTTGGCCATTTTGGTCCCCCTTCTCTGGAAACACTTCAATTTATCAATATCTTTTATATGTCAGCACTTTGAACCCTGACCAGAAGAGCCGGTGGAGTTGTTGCAACTGCATAGTTGTCCCAACCCTTTCAGGGGATTGAATTCCATGTCTTTTTTGCCCCTACGTTGCCTTTCTGGACTTACTGAAGCATTCCCGGTGACACGGTGCATTGCATTAAAGCCTATCCTAATTAAAAATTGAAGCCAATTAAAAGGTACTAAATGGCAGCAAACCCTACAAGAAGGATATAGGTCATGTGGCAGACCCCGATCCAGCTGGAAGCCAAGCTGTCTCATCACTTCTAGGCTGCGGAGGAGACGGTTGATAGAAAAGGCTTCAAACCCAAAGCCTTCTACGGCCAAGTGGCTTGATTTCAATCGCCCTCCGTTCAAAGATGAACCAGAGCCAGTCTCTTAAGGCAAAAAATATATCTACAACGAAGTCCTGCAACACTACAGGAACCTGGACAAAAGCCCCGACAACGGAGATTTAAGTAATAAATCTGTCGCAATGAAATCAAAATCCCTTTTCATTTCTGTGTAATCAATCTCCGTCTCCCAATAGCCTCCACGAGGAATTTGCCGTAATGATGATTTTAATGCGGCCTGGCAGCAGACTGTGCTGCCAGCGCTAATTGAGGCTTTGTTTTTAAATACACTATCCTTTTATTGAGTAACAAACTCTAGACTGTTGGATACTTCTGAGAGCAGGAAGGAATGGAGGGGCTAAACAGATAACCCTGGAAGGTTACTTCTTTAATGTAAGGAGTTATTGTTGCAAACCGTCAAGTAGATACAACCTATGGATGAGAGGCCTCCAAGGGAGCATCTACACTGCAGAATGGATTAAGTTTGGACCCACTTTAAGTGCTTTGACTCAATGCTAGGGAACCATGGGAGTTGTAGTCGGGTGAGTCACCAGAGGAAGGCAAAGGACCTTGCAAAACTATTATTTATTTATTTAAAACACTTAAAACATTTATATTCCGCCCTTCTCCCCCGAAGGATTACCTGGGAAGGAATCCCACTGGAGCATTGCAGCACATCCAAATACCTGGGAGTCACTCTGGACCGTGCTCTGACCTACAAGAAGCACTGCCTGAACATCAAGCAAAAAGTGGGTGCTAGAAATAATATCATACGAAAGCTGACTGGCACAACCTGGGGATTACAACCAGACACAGTGAAGACATCTGCCCTTGTGCTATGCTACTCTGCTGCTGAGTATGCATGCCCAGTGTGGAACACATCTCACCACGCTCAAACAGTGGATGTGGCTCTTAATGAGACATGCCGCATTATCACGGGGTGTCTGCGCCCTACACCACTGGAGAAATTACACTGCTTAGCCGGTATTGCACCACCTGACATCCGCCGGGAAGGAGCAGCCAATAGTGAAAGGACCAAGGCAGAGACATCTCCAGCCCATCCCCTGTTTGGGTATCAGCCAGCACGTCAACGACTTAAATCAGAAATAGTTTTCTAAGATCTACAGAGACACTCGCTGGAACACCTCAGCAAGCGAGAGTCCAAAAGTGGCAGGCTCAAACCCAGAACCTCAACCAATGGCTGATACCAAATGAGAGACTCCCCCCTGGGCACACAGAAGACGGGGTGACTTGGAAGGCGCTGAACAGACTGCGCTCTGGCACCACGAGATGCAGAGCCAACCTCAAGAAATGGGGCCACAAAGTGGAATCCACGACATGCGAGTGTGGAGAAGAGCAAACCACTGACCACGTATTACAATGCAGCCTGAGCCCTGCCACATGCATAAGGGAGGACCTCCTTGCAGCAACACCAGAGGCACTCCAAGCGGCCAGCTACTGGTCAAAGGACATTTAATATAATGCCAAGTTTTTGAACTTTGTGGTATTTTTAAATACATTACAACTGTTCCCTTGGTTTGCTTCTGATGCAATAAATAAATAAATAACCCAAGAGTGCAAACTACAACTCCCAGGATTCTGTAGCACAGAGCTATGACAGTTCAAGGGGTGTCAAAGTGCATCTGTTTGGCAGTGCAGATGCACCCAGATTCAACTTAGCAACTTGGCTTCTAAGGAGAGACTTGCTCTTGGAGCCATGTTATTTTTTATCCAATGATGTTTGAGAGATGTACATCCATGGAACATAAAACAAACACAATATGAAAACACAGCTAAGACAAGCATAGAATCATAGAATCAAAGAGTTGGAAGAGACCTCATGGGCCATCCAGTCCAACCCCATTCTGCCAAGAAGCAGGAATATTGCATTCAAAGCCTGCATCAATTCACTGCATCAATAGGAGCAGAGTGTCTAGATCTAGGGAAGTCATGCTACCCCTCTATTCTGCTTTGGTTAGACACCACACCTGGAATATTGTGACCAATTCTGGGCACCACGACTGAAGAGAGATATTGACAGCTGGAATGTGTCCAGAGGAGGGCGACTAATGATCAAGGGTCTGGAGAACAAGCCCTATGAGGAGCGGCTTAAGGAGCTGGACATGTTTAGCCTGAAGAAGAGAAGGCTGAGAGGAGATAAGATAGCCATGTATAAATATGTGAGAGGAAGCCACAGGGAGGAGGAGGGAGCAAGCTTGTTTTCTGCTTCCATGGAGACTAGGACGCAATGGAACAATGGCTTCAAACTACAAGAGAGGAGATTCCATCTGAGGAAGAACTTTCTGACTGTGAGAGCCATTCAGCAGTGGAACTCTCTGCCCTGGAGTGTGGTGGAGGCTCCTTCTTTGGAAGCTTTTAAACAGAGGCTGGATGGCCATCTGTCAGGGGTGATTTGAATGCAATATTCCTGCTTCTTGGCAGAATGGGGTTGGACTGGATGGCCCATGAGGTCTCTTCCAACTCTTTGATTCTTTGATTCTATGATTCTATGAAATCACCCCTGACAGATGGCCATTCAGTCTCTGTTTAAAAGCTTCCAAAGAAGGAGCCTCCACCACCACTAAGCAAATAAGTATCTCTACAAAGCTAAGGATGCAATTCTCCTTTTCTCATCCCGATTTAACGGTTTGATGTGCAACTTGCAAAAATTAAATCAAAAGACAGGCTTACCTTCCGTTCGGGATTATGACGAAAAATAGTGGCCCCAACGTTTGCAGTGGCCACATTGGACACAGAGAGGGTTTTATAAACAGCCGAAACGAGAGCAACACAATTTCTGGCGCTGTGGAGCTGATCAGGCAATGAAAGCATTTCAGGACATAGAAAAGAGCGGGGGAGAAAAGGGGGGAGAGTTCGGAAAAATGCTCTTTTCCCCTCCAGGTTGTTTGCAGGCAACCGAGGCTTAATTTGCTCTCCCCAGCTGTTTTCCCGGCTTGCTTTGCCCTACGATGGCTCTCAAAATCCAGCAAAGAGACAGAGAATTCATCCAGGCAACCTATCAAGGGGGGCTTCCCATTGAGAGGCCGCTTGCTCCTAAATCTATGTCCGACGCAATAGTGTTATTCAGCAACCAGGTTGAACACATCAAGAGACATTGCAATTCGTATCCATCAGCTCCCCGTTGGGCCAGCTGTTCCCGATAGCTTTGGGCAAAGATGTATCTGGCACCAGGGAAAATAAAGCAGATAAGAAGGGAAGAGATTTGGAATTAAGCACCGAAAAGCAGCCACCAACCGCCAAGGAAGATCTCAGTATTCCCCGCAGGGGAAAAAGGATTCTCAACTGCACATTTCTTTAGAGCACTATTTAATCCTCAACCCTCCTAAAAAGCCAAGGATGGAAGGTGGAGCTGGGATCTTTCCGCTTAAGCCTCTGTTCCCAAAAGGGATTCATGCCGGTTTGTGAACATCGGACGTGACAAGTGCAAAAAGGCCATTTATTGCTATCTCAATCCGGTTGTTTCGTATTCCCTCGGCCACAGCTTGATCCAGACTCAACTGTGACTAATGAACCTGCAAATGGACTATGAGGGGAATAAATAAATGCAAGGAAGAACGCAGGAGGGAAGGCTCCAAAGGGCTCTACCGTTCCAGACACATGGGTATTTTACACAGCTCCTTTCATTTGAAAAATATTTGGTGGAATGCATCTTAAGCTGCCTCCCTCACTCTGGTATACGGCATCATCATCATTATCATCACATAATTATAATTATTTGATTTTAGCCTCTTTCCGTATGAATAGAGCTGGGGGGAAAGAGCCACACATAATACAAGTTAAGAAGACATAACCACTCAGAATACAGTAATAATAATTTACAGAAAACCCACACACGCAGATAGATATCTACATAATAACCCCAACCATCACCCAAGTCAAAAAAGAAGCACAATTAAAGCATAGAATCATAGAATCAAAGAATTGGAAGAGACCTCATGGGCCATCCAGTCCAACCCCATTCTGCCAAGAAGAAGGAATATTGCATTCAAATCACCCACAATGGGAATTTGGCCTGCATCAATAGGAGCATAGTGTCTAGATCCAGGGAAGTAATGCTACCCCTCTATTCTGCTTTGGTTAGACCACACCTGGAATATTGTGTCCAATTCTGGGCACCACAATTCAAGAGAGATATTGACAATCTGGAATGTGTCCAGAGGAGAGCGACTAAAATGATCAAGGGTCTGGAGAACAAGCCCTATGAGGAGTGGCTTAAGGAGCTGGGCATGTTTAGCCTGAAGAAGAGAAGGCTGAGAGGGGATATGATAGCCATGTATAAATATGTGAGAGGAAGCCACAGGGAGGAGGGAGCAAGCTTGTTTTCTGCTTCCCTGGAGACTAGGACGCAATGGAACAATGGTTTCAAACTACAAGAGAGGAGATTCCATCTGAACATGAGGAAGAACTTCCTGACTGTGAGAGCCGTTCAGCAGTGGAACTCTCTGCCCCGGAGTGTGGTGGAGGCTCCTTCTTTGGAAGCGTTTAAACAGAGGCTGGATGGCCATCTGTCAGGGGTGATTTGAATGCAATATTCCTGCTTCTTGGCAGGGGGTTGGACTGGATGGCCCATGAGGTCTCTTCCAACTCTTTGATTCTATGATTATTCATCACATAATTATAATTATTTGATTTTAGCCTCTTTCCGTATGAATAGAGCTGGGGGGGGAAGAGCCACCGGAAATTAAAATACAACACACATAATACAAGTTAAGAAGACATAACCACTCAGAATACAATAATAATAATTTACAGAAAACCCACACACAGAGATAGATATCTACATAAAAACTCCAACCATCCCCCAAGTCAAAAAAGAAGCCCCATGAAAGCCTTGGCAGACCGTGCAAAAAGAATCTGGGAATCCCACCTCCTCCAAGATGAACTTAACCACCTCAACTGGGCTCTCCAGGCCAAGGAAGACTCCACCTCAGACATCAGAAGAGCTGCAAGACCACCAAGAAGAAGCCACGAGAATAAAGACAAAGATCCACCCAGAGGAAAAGTGTTCTTGCCATACATCAAGGGAACCACTGATGAGGAAACACAACATACAAGCTATCTACAGACCCACCAAGAAAATCCAACAAATGCCACATTCAGCAAAGGACAAGAGGGATCCTCTTGCTTCTGCAGGAATCTACCGTATACCACGCAGTTGTGGACAAGTCGACAGAGGGACCACCAAACTCAGCAGCATTGCCCAAACACGCATCAAGGAACGCGAAAGGCACTGCAGACTCCTTCAACCAGAGAAGTCATCCATAGCAGAGCACCTGATGAACCCACCTGGACACAGCAGATTATTTGAGAACACAGAAATGCTGGACCACTCTCACAACCACCATGTCAGGCTACACAGAGAAGCCATTGAAATCCACAAGCCATGTGGACAATTTCAACAGAAAGGAGGAAACCATGAAAATGAACAAAATCTGGCTACCAGTATTTAAAAAAAACACTCTAAAATTATAACAGCACAACAGAGAGGAAACAAACAAGGACATCTAATCACCTCTCAACAAAAGATTGCTCCAGGCTCTGCCAAACCATCAAATGCTAATCAAGGTGACCAGTTGAAACATTCACACCTAGCTCCAACAGACAAGAGTCCTTTGTCCCATCCTGGTCATTTCATAGATATATAAACCCTTTTTCCTAGTTCCAACAGACCTCACTACCTCTGAGGATGCTTGCCATAGATGCAGGCGAAATGTCAGGAGAAAATGCCTCTAGAACATGGCCATATAGCCATACAAAAAAAACTTACAATAAATGCAGTGATTCCAGCCATGAAAGCCTTTGACAATACAATAATAATAATAACTATTATTATTATTATTATTATTATTATTATTATTGAAAATTCTGTGGGACTTTCGAATCCAGACTGACAAAGTTTTGGAACACAATACACCAGACATCACAATTGTGGAAAAGAAAAAAGTCTGGATGATTGATGTCGCAATTCCAGGTGACAGCCACACTGAGGAAAAACAACAGGGAAAACTCAGCCGCTATCAAGACCTCAAAATCGAACTGCAAAGGCTCTGGCATAAACCAGCACAGGTGGTCCCAGTGAATGGATGGATGGCCCTTTGTCAGGAGGGCTTTGATTATGTTTTCTTGCCCTGATAAAGGGAGTTGGACTGGATGACCTTAAGGCAGCATTTCTCAATCTGGGAAGTCAAGGGGGGATCAGCAGGGTGGTATCAGAAGGATCACCAAAAACCACCAGAAAACACAGTATTTTCTGTTGCTCATGGGGCTTGTGTGTGGGAGGTTTGCTTCAATTCTGTTGTTGGTGGGGTTCAGAATGCTCTTTGATTGTACATGAACTATAAATCCCAGTAACTACAACTCCCAAATGTCAAGGACTCCATCTGTGTTCATATTTGGGCATATGGAATATTTGTGCCAAGTTTGGTCCAGATCCCTCATTGTTTGAGTCCACGGTGATCTCTGGATGGAGGCAAACTACAACTCCCAAACTCAAAGTCGATACCCACCAAACCCTTCCAGTGTTTTCTGTTGGTCATGGGAGTCCTGTGTAGTCTGGTTCAATTCCATCATTGGTGGAGTTCAGAATGCTCTTTGATTGTAAGTAAACTATAAATCCCAGCAACTACAACTCCCAATGACAAAATCATAATTTTTTGAGTGATGATCACTCCTCGTATAGTGAGACGTTTTGTTGCCAAATTTGGTATGATTTCATTCATTGGTTCTTTTTGTTTTTAAGGTACTCATTATGCACAGAGCATTTATAAATATATAGATAGATGTAATGTAATATTACTAATAATATTACAGTATAATGTTATAGTACAGTGTAAGATATAATATCAATATTTTGCTATGCTAATAATATAATATATTGTATTTACTTTTTACTTGTAAGCTGCTCTGAGCACAATATCGATATTATATCTTACACTGTACTATAACATTATACTGTAATATTATTAGTAATATTACATTACATCTATCTATATATTTATAAATGCTCTGTGCATAATGAGTACCTTAAAAACAAAAGAACCAATGAATGAAATCATACCAAATTTGGCAAGAAAACGTCTCACTATACAAGGAGTGACCATCACTCAAAAAAAAATATGATTTTGTCATTTGGGAGTTGTAGTTGCTGGGATTTATAGTTCACCTACAATCAAAGAGCATTCTGAACTCCACCAATGGTGGAATTGAACCAAACTTGGAACACAGGGGTGCGAAGGGCGGCATATAAATGTTGTAAATAAATAAATAATAAATAAATAGGTCATGTGGCCAGCATGACTGCATGGAGCACCGTTACCTTCCTGCAGAAGTGGGACCTACTTATCTACTCACATTTGCATGTTTTCGAACTGCTAGGTTGGCAGAAGCTGGGGCTAACAGTGGGCGCTCACCCCGTTACCAGGATTTGAACTGCCAAACTTTCAGTGCCAATGGTATGTGTGTGTGTGTGTGTGTGTGTGTGTGTGTGTGTGTATACACCACACACACATTTAAAATATGAATGCCACTCCTGGAATTTCACATAATTCCCCTGAACCACCCTCTGCCTATCTCTGTTCTAAGTACTTAGGTCTTAAAGCTCTGACAAGAACGCCTTCCTTCTTGAGAGCGATTTCATTCGGCCATTCCAGCTTCCCGCACAGGTCCACCACCCACACGTTCTTTTCATCAGTCAAACCGGGATGGGAAAGAAGGGCGGGGGGAAGAGATAAGGACTTTCCGAGGACGTTAATGACCAGATGGTGAGGAGTCACAGGCGCCCCTTCCTCGCATTCCTCAAGCGGCTTCTTCCCCTCCGGTCCCACAGAGATATATCTGACACCAAAGGATCCGAACCTGTGCGTTTCATGAAGAATTACAGCTGTCAGGGCAGAAGAAGAAGAAGACAACCCAAAGCAAAACAGAAGACCTCTTAAAGGGGCAATCACTGTCTACATAATTCACCCC